GTTCATCAGCTCAGTTTCTCTTGATTCACTATTCTGGTCATGTTTATGGTGTCCGATAAGGGAACAATTCAATGATCTAGTGGTAACGGAAGTGAGAACTGGGCAGAGGTACATTTGCTTTTGTCTTAGCATTTGCACTGCTCTCTTTTGGTCACCTGACTACAAATGCACACATTCTGCGGCTTGCAAATCACAGGCCAAGGTTGTTCAAACTTTAATTAAAAAGTAGCTAAGGTACTGGCTGAGTTTACATTCATCATAACGGGGTCTACTGATCATGATGAAAAGTCTGAAAACTTCCATAAATTTGGAAAGATGGGCTTGAACTCCAACAGCAGCCTGAACCCATTTAAAATTTAAACTTATTTAAAATCAGATAAATTATCTTTTAAGTTAGAGATGGATTTTGAATCTGGCTAAAAGTAGAGGCCCCAAACACGTCTAACATTTTTAAAATTAGTAAGAGTCTTTCACAAGTTTTGATAGGTAGCATGAACTTGAAGGTAGATTCACATTATTGTGGATAACTGGGAAATACACACTCTCATAAAACTGCTGATTAGTCATTTACATTACCCTTGTGAAAGCTTTCTGACAGTTACTAAAACTACACAAGCAGTCATTTTCTACTTTGAACTCCCTCTCCGAAACTCACTTCTTCCAAGAGGCTCATTCTGGATTTCTGCACATCTCAGATACTCAGTCATTTTCTTGTAAACCATATACAACACATTAAAAATTAAATGAAAAGCACAGCATACTCAAAAGGGTTCCTTTGTACTTCTGGGATTGCGAACACAATAACTATTCATGTGTATCACTTGCAAAGTCAGCAGTATTTTTCCAATGGGAATCATGTTTTCACAGCTGCCTCACACCACAGGACCTGGCAGAAGACAACAACTGCATGGTAACAAGCACAAGATTAACCCTGCTGCCTTCAGGTAAGGAAACGTTTCTTCTGAAGGTACAGAATCTGTGAAATTCTCCACCACAGATGGCTGCGGAGACCAAGTCATTCAAGAATGAGATAAAAGTTTTAGATTTGGAAGGCATCAATGGGTAAGAGGAAAAGGCAGAAATATGGCATTGAGACAGACCATCAGCCATGATCATATTGAATGGTGGAGCAGGCTCAAAAGGTTGAATGGCCTACTCCCACTCCTAGTTTTTATGTTTCTTTATAGATTCACGCTACAGTGAAACAGAATCAAAAGGAACAAGTGACCTTTATCATTTCAAGCATTTTTAAAGAGGTAGAGGTTTCTTTGCTTCTTTCAAAAGCATCTAATAATAATTTGAGCCTTTCAAACATAACATGCACAGCACCACCATTTGGTATACAGTTTATATGTGTCCACATGCTTGGGAATGTGATTAACCAGAAAGAATATGCAGGATTTATCTGCGCTGCTCTTGAAACGGTTACTAAAACTAGAATAGAGTGTGTCTGGTGTGTGACAGCAACCTTTGATCTTATGTTCAGAACAGAAGGACTGCCAAGAATATTCCAATAGGAATAAATATTTATTGTACCCACATTCAAGTGTGAACTACATGTACTGACTTAAAAGAAATTCAGTGGGAAACCAGTTGGCAACCAGATAAAGCACTGAGCGAGCCCTTTCACATCTGGCACTGGATTCATATCCAACCCAGAGAGTTGAAAGGAAGGCTTTCATTTGATAATTTTAAGGATCCAGTGTGAAGTGAGGTTGGGCAGTCTCAGCACCAGTCCCAATAGGTGCATTTCTACAATTTAAATCTTCTCCTAAATGGGTGATTTCACTTAGATTTGGAAAGAAAATAGATTTCTAACATGAATGCAGTATCTTCTGAACTCAAGACCAAAGTATAATGCTGGAACAGAATGGAAGAACTACCTAACTTCAGAACACCTAGAGTGACACAGAAGGCACAATTTTCTCCAACTAGTCTGCACTGGATGGCAGGCCAATTTTCAGATCAGGAACCCAATTCCCCAATGAGGGCTTTGCCAAGGTTCTTTCCAAGAACAGCAGTTTTAACATTGTTTTGAGGAACTCCCAGGTCAACAATCAAGGCCAAGGAAGGATCAGATGTATGGAACTGAAGGAATGCCTCTGATTCCAGGGACTGATTTTTGAGGCCACAGGAATGAGGAAATGAAAGTTTTGCACTGTTACCCAGAAGGCAGGCTGAGGATGCGAGAGACCTCATTGAGGTGGTCTCTCCCAAGGACTGGAGGTAGAGAACAACATCCTCAAACATGTGAGGATGGAAGTGGACAAGGAACTTAGAACAGTGGTTCTCCCCAACCGGGGAAGAGTGAACCAGGAGGATCAATGACATCAGGAGGGCATGACAGGCAAGTGACATAATGCCCGATGCTAAGCCCACACCCTGACTTGGCTAATGTTCTCCTGCACAACACTCCTCAAACCAACATCTCTTAAGCACCACTAGTTTTCATCCTGAAGTCATCTCACATCCCTATCCAAAAAGCCAAACTGACATTCACCTTGGTTATCACCTGCTCATACCCACATTCCACTCTCACTTCCACAAGTGGCAGCCTTCCTTCCTTTCAACAAAGTAATTACACTCACAGCTCACTGCTTTTTCTCTCTCAAAACTGGAATTAACAGTCTAACGATGAACATTAATCCATTGTCGATTTTTGGAAAAGTCCATCTGGTTCACTAATGCCCTTTAGGGAGGGAAACTGCCATCCTTACCTGGTCTGGCCTACATGTGACTCCAGACGCACAACAACAACGATTGACCCTTAACTGCCCTCTGGGCAATTGGGGATAGTCATTGAAATGCTGGCCTACTCAGCAACACTCATCTCATGAATTAATTAAAAAAAAAACAAAGATAGTGTCCAAATTGGATAGACAGAGGCTGTTCGTTGGTGACAGTGATCCTCAAGTGACTGGCACCTTGTTGGTCATTTGCAACATGTGCCCTGCTGGTTCACTGCAAAAGGAGGTTTTATTCCAGATGCAGGTGTCAGCAGTGACCTGCCAGAAGATTCTGTGCATCCTGACACACTGGAGCTCAGGCATGATAACAGTGATTATTTGTCTATGGACTGCTCTGTGGGGATCATGCCTTCTTCCAGGTGGCTCTCGATGCCCATCCCATCCATCTTGGGAAGAGCAATGTGGCCAGTGCTGCTTTTGGACCTGTTACTGGCAATGATATGATCTCAGTAGCAGTGAAAGCTGAAGCTGGGTAAGCTGGCTCTATGTCATACTGAATGGCTGTACTCCTCTGCTGCCAGCGAAGTGAGTGAAGTGTTGGACAGATCAAGTGTTTTCCAATAAGTTAACAATCACAGTCAAGCAGTGACAGCACTCTCTGATGGACATGCTCTGAACAGCAGCTTCTCACCTGGCTATGGCTGGAGATCCTCGCTGCAACTGATCAAATCTTTTACAGCTTGTCAGTTTCACTCTTCCTGCAATGTACCTGTTTCAGTAATCCTGGCAAAGCGCACATACAGTGTGGAAGCTGGGTGCTGCCAGGAAAGCAGGATTTCATAATTGAAAAGCCTCCGAGTTAACTTTTTAAATCACTTCTGTTGCCTTCCCCACCCCTCAGACCTATGAGTTCTTCCACTCTGAACCCACAGCAGAGAAGGCCAGAGTGAGCCAAATGATGTTGGGATCTCAATCAACTATCATTTTTCAGCTCTTTCCCATCCTGCATTCACTGGAATCGGTCTTCTTCTACCCAAGGAAATTTGACCCATGTGCGAAACAGAGAAACATACTTTTCCTTGAATGAAGACAAAAAATTTCCAGCAATATGTATTACATTAGAAAAAATTAGAACTAGTTTATTCTACAACTCTGTCAACTCTTCATGGTTGTATTTAAATCATGTCCCTGCTTTACAGAGTAGCATGTTGACTGGCATGTGTTCATATACAATTATTAACCTAAAGCACCTTGTGATTTCAACCAACCATGTTCATTCTGCTCTCTCACTCTGCACAGCTTCAAATAATGTCAGCCGCAGTCAATATTGATACAAAATCATTTTTCTATCATTTCTTACTCTGTGCATGACTGCTACAAAACAAGGTACTGACAGAGGAATTCAATCTATGAAAAAGAAAATCCCAACTGAAACCTCAATTGCATACCCAGTAGGAAAACAACTTTGTATCTGTGCAAATGTGCGTTGCGTCCCCTTCCTTTTGGAGACAGCATTAATTTGGAATATGCTCCAGTTCTGACACAGGGGCTACACTTGGGACAGTCAACTGGAACAACAAGACCTGAAGCATTGCTGGCTATTTCCAGCATCTGTTGTAATTATACTTCGCAAAAATTACATCTATAATGACAAGGAGCTCTCCCAAACTGTACACCAGAATCCCATCATATATGAACCACACATTCTGATTTGGCCAATTGGTCACCAAAACTCAATTGCTTCAATAAATATGGTGATGCTAAATCTTGGCTGGGTCACTCGTCTAGCAAATCCTCTTGTTTTAACAAAGTAAAACATAGAAATGAATGGAACACTCAAGACAAGTATTTGTGCTCCATTTGATTTTAGTGCATTAATTATTACAGTTGGAGTGTTACAGAGTGCTGATTTGATATTCTAGAAATTGCTTCTTTCTAATTAGATTCAAATGAGGCCATTGTACTGAACTACAAATTTGCAATGGAGCACTAAACGTTAAAAAGAAATTGCAGCATGTTTACTTTGGAGTTTGAGCCATTAATACATATTGTTTTACAAAATTAACACTGTTTCAAATTACCACTAGCCTTGGGTTTGACTTTAATTCAAACCATTGTGCATTGACTCTATAAATGTTAAGTTCCACATCACTCAGTTTTTACCACATCCGCAGTTTTAAAAAAAAAGAGGTTGCAGGAGACAATTGAAACCACATGCTAATGTGCAAAAGGTCAGGGACAGAAGAATAAAGAGTCTCACGATGCCTCCCCCCACCCATTTCTTAACAGTTAAAAGACACAGTTTACACCTACCTGCAATATAAGCAGCATCTGAATGAGTGAAGGTGGGACTCTCGCACGTGGCCGTGACAGAGCATCTTCTAGTTTCACGTTTAGTGTGATAATATTCCTGAAATGCAGTAGGGCTATCTGTCGAACGGTGGGTTCCTTTCCCTGTTAAATCAATTAAAAACAAAAATGTAACAGAAAGGAAGAGTGTATGGTTAAAAGTATTAAAAGGACTTTAATGGACACAGCTATATGAAAATCTGCAGAGTCACACATTAACTCAGGATTGAAAGCACAAGAATCTGCCACAATAAACTTGAGTGAAACGATACCACCAAATCCATACACCAACATAGAACATTTGATGAAAATAAATGTCAAAGGGCATTGATGCAAATTACAATTTTACACTGGAATTCTATCTTGTCCATCTCTAATCAAACTTTACTGATGTAATTATCAATCAAACCGCATACACTTTTATGGGTGCGGTTATCACTGGCAAGACCATCTCCAACTGCCCTAAGGCTATAATGAATGGAACAGATCTTAATTTTCATTGTTAGAATGTAAAGTCAGGGTTGCAGATCAGGCAGGAGGTGCTGGTGAGGCTCTGGTAAGTTTTGTGCCACTGGTGCACCCACAGTGTGGGGTGGGTGGGGATGGTGGTGGTGGTGGTGGTTCCAGGATATTGATCCAGTAAAACAAGGAATGGCAAGCTATTCAAAGGTCAGGCTGGTGTGGGACTTGCAAGATGCAGTGTTCCTGGAGTCCTTGTCTTTCTAGTCAGTAAACTGTCAGTTTTCAAGGTGCTGTTGAAGAAGCCTTGGTGAATTATTGCAATGCATCTTGCAAATGGTACACACTGTTGCTATTGTGATGGTGCAGAGAATCAATGTGTCTGATTGTACAGAACCTATCAAACAGGTGGCTTCGCCCTGGATTGTGTAGAGCTTCTTAAGTGCTGTCCATACAAATGGGAGTATTTGATCACACTCTTGATTTGTGCATTGTAGATGGTAGGCAGGCTTTGAGGAGTTAAGCAGTAAATTACTTAATACAGAATTCTGAGCTTCTAACTCTTGTATTTAGTTTTTATACGGCTGGTCTAGTTCAGTTTCTGGTCAATAGTAACCCCAGGATGCTGACAGGAGGACATTCACCGATGGTAATGCCAATGAATGCCAAATGGAGATGGTGCGCTTCTCTCTTGGAGGTGGCCATTGCCTGGCACTTGTTTAGCAAAAACGTTACTTGCCAGTTATCAGTCCAAGCCCAAATATGCTCAGCTCTTGCTGCACACTTCGGTATCCAAGTTGTGAAGAACACAGTGCAGTCTTTGGAAAATATCCTCACTTATGACCTTACAATGCAGGGAAACTCAGTGATGGGACAGCTGAAGATAGTTTTACCTAGAACACTGCACTGAGGTAGCCCTGTAGAAATGATCTGGGGCTAAAATGATTGACCTCCAACAATCACAACCAGCTTCCTTTGTACTAAGTACAACTCTGAACAGTTTTTCTTAAACAGAAAAAGTGTTCCTCTCAATTCCTAATAACTGCAGTTTTACTAAGGTATCTTGATCCTACACTCAGTAAAATGCTGCTTGCACATGAAGGACAAACACTCACAAATTCTGCTCTTGGACCAAGACTGTAATGAGATATGGAGTAGAATGCTCTTTTTTTAAAATCGACTTCAGAAATACATTTTAGTCTGCAGGTTTAAACTTGAACTCATCTTTTATGAACAAGAAAAAAGCAACACAGTGAATATAATTAATGTTCATTCTTGGGATGTGGGTATTACTGACAAAGCCAGCAATTATTGTTCATCCCTAGTAACCCTGAGAAGGTGGTAAGGAGTTTTCTTCTTGCATCAGTTTGATACAACTACATTCGTTGTTAAGCCACTTCAGAGGAGGAGTTAAAAGTTAAGTACGCTTGTGCATGGTTAAAAGTACATATAATCCAGACCAGCTTGCTTCTTGTCATGTAGGGCATTAGACAACAGATCTACGCCTTCATGACGACTGTTATTGAAGCCATCTTTTATTTGAAAATTTTTATTGAAGCTGAACTTAATCCAGAGAATAGACGTTCAAATCACACTAACTGCAATTCAGGATTAGTCAAAGCCTCTAGATTGCTATCCCTGTAACATAATTCCATGACCAAGGTATCCCCAACATCTCCCTAGATTGCAGCTGTAAAAACAGGACTTTAAACTTTGCTAAGCATTGCTTATTTCAGACTTGAGGTACAATAATCTCTGAATTAGACTCAATGTTTGAGGAGACACAGAAGGCTGAGAGAGTTTTTTTGGATTGAACAGATAGAAATATAGGAGAACAATAATAGGCTGGTGAGCCTGCATGTTTTTTTTCAATGAAGCTTACATTAGTCAACAGATACAGTCCATTGAGTGACAGAGCTGCACCTCATCATTTCCTGCTTATTAAATATTTACCCCCAATTTAATGGTAGTTCACCCTCTGCAGCTGTGGTACTACCATTTGAAAAAAATTCAAATCTTCCAGACCAAGTACATGCCCATGGTCAAGAAACCGACTGGATCCGTAAACAAATTTGTTATGTGTTGCCTAGTGTCTACTGTTGATGCTGATACCTACATTTATAACTTGATTCGTTCAAAGATACCTTGATAGCATGTGCAATTCTGTTTGAAGTTTTAATTAATTTCAGCATACTGACAGTGGAAATGGATGAATTTATATTCCCTAATGGCTACCCCGTCAAGTTGATGATCAAGAGGAAGACTGTGTCAACATGAACGCTTGTGATCTAAGACAATTTGATGGAATTGCCTCGTGGAGCTGCTCAACTTCAATTTTGTTCGGAATTGATCGACTGAAAGCCAAACGTTCCCAAAAGTGAACTGTGAATTATTTGACATTTTACTAGGAACTACAAAAATGTTTCATTTGAGAAGCCCTACAGATTGTAGAATGTTAGACAAAACATATTTTACAAAAGGTGCTCTAATTATTTGTAGACTGGTCTTTATTAATTGCTTTAGGCATTATATGTTTGAGTCGTTGCTATAAACTAAACGGTTTCTGTGTAATACCTCATAAATCTGCTCATTTTAATCCATGTGCACTGGCCTGAACGTTGTGTTGACTTTCTTATAGTGAAGACAGGAGAATATGCTGGTCAGGGCACACCATGATAGCACACTTTCCCGCTTACGACATGTAGCAAGGCGCAAGCTGGGGTTCATTAGTCTGATCAGTAACTGAAAACTCACGGAAAGAAAATCAAGTGAAGTCTGTAAAAATATCGACAAACCCCTCCAAATGTTTGCTGGCCTGTGAGCAGATCTAACCAATAATTTCAATATGGAGACAGCCTTTAGGAAAGAAATGTTAACAATGCTTTCCCGATCTCTTCCTGAGTTGAAGTATCTCAAACAACAAAGACAACAGTCCTTCACCTCCAACTCTCAGGTTAGGTTTTGCTTTGTTTTCCCACATTTGAAAAAAAACCTATATTGCAAATCTTATTTTGTCATTCAGTCCCATGGTGCTAGGAGCCAAAAGGCACTGTAAAGCTACTTCACCCTCAGTGGGACAAACTGGCTTGATTGTACAAAGAAACGGCACATATTTACAATGCTCCAATCAAACTCTAAAGGGTTCATATCTCCTTGCTCCTGGAATGGCATGCATTCCCAATGAATAAAGATGACCAGAACTGAGCATGATGCACATTAATCATCTAGTCTCAAAAGGAAAACAAGTACCTTTCTTCTTCATCCATAGCGTACACATGTAACCCAATTAACTGACCGAAAACAAGTTCACAACACACTGCATGAGCCTGAATCTATTTTCCTCCCATTCCTCCATGAACAATGATATAATGAAGGGAAACTTCAGGTCTATCTCACATTTTCACACAGATAGAACTTATATAACTGTAGTATGCCCCTGTGGGACCACAAAACAGAAGGACACAGATGATGATACCACCTAAATTGCTAATGAAAGAAATAGAGTCCAGCAGACTTCCAGCCCCACAAATTCTGCTCCAAGTTCAGTTCTCCTCACAATCATATAGGGAGGGCTTACAACACAGGCTCCTGACTCACCACATTCCAATATTCAGAACTGTTTTGAGTGCAAGATTAAAATAGCAGCCTCTCTCCTTTGGGATCCTGATTTCCTTTACCTACACAATAAACAAAGTTGACTTCAGAATAACAACGTTCCCGGAGACTAGCTCTTTGCCTTGCCTGGGAAAGCAGAAGGGCTCACGGAAATGCGAAGCAAACAGTCCGTTTGGGCAATTCACTCCTGGCTGGGAGATTTGGCATTAATCCACCAGAGACACTTCGAATAGGACATCAAGACATGCATAAATACAATCAACAACTGACTATGCCAACTTGGCTCCATTAGTAGCATTTGCATCTTTAAGAAATACTGGAGCTTAAGCTTTACAACACATGCAGAGAACAAATCCTAGGCTGAGACACCAGTGTGATACTAAATGAGTGTTTCATTGTCAGAAGAGAAATCCCTAGGGACAGACAATCAACAAATGCACATCTAGATGAACCGTGAAGAATTCCAGGGCTTTTTGAGGGGAATCTCTGCTTGCCAACACTGCTTCATTATCTTGTGCTATCAACTTGTCAACAGACAAATAGTCCAAAAATCTAGTCTAATGCTCAGGAGACATATTTAAATACAACCATCACATTGAAACAAAATTAAATTTGTTGAATAAATGAATAAATTTGGAATTCAAAATTTGTCTCGCTGATAGTTTCACAGAACCATCATCAATTGTTATAAAAGGCCATTTGTTCCACTAATGTTACTTAGGACAAGAAGTCTGTGTAACCTAGTCTTGCCCAAATGTGACTCTACCCCACTGTAAGGTAGTTGGATGTTTACTGCACTTCTTGTCTAGCAAATTACTCAAGCTCTACAGGAAAAAGTCATAAGAACTGCAGTAGTTCAAGGTGGTAGCTGGGGATTAGGGAGAGTAAATTAATGTTAGCCAACCTATTGACAACCACATCCCCTGAATGATGTGTTTTTAAGAAAGAATGCAAGATTTCCTTTCTCTTGGATTTGTTTTACCCTACTGCCTCATTCCAGACACAAACACAAGCAGCTCAAACTTATTGAG